CAAAAGCTTCAGGGCCTGTGAAAAGTCCTACTACGGAGTATGGTCCCAGGCAAACTTCACGCAATTTAGTCTCGCGACCGAATCGCGGCGAGACAACTGTTACAACATCATTCCATGCCGATCAACTTGCATTCAGTTGTGATACTTTTCCAGCCCGAAATTTTTGAATGTGAAATGAAAATGAATGGAAATCTTGGCGATTAGATCTCGACGATTCAGTCGCGTGAAGTCTGTCCGGGGCTTATGGGGGTACAATTAAAACACCAATAACACATGACTCGATTTTCTGGACTTACTGATTAGGGTGCAGTGTAGTTTTCTGAATTTCATCGTTCTCAAAGTTCGTTTCTACAGTGTGCGTGCGCAACAATGCCATTGACTGTTTCATTATGTTGAATCAATGCTAGTTTGCATGATCCCAGCTTCGGCGGGTCCTTCCTCCTTACAATTAGTTTCTTTGTGGGTTGATCTTGTCTACGCTTATTGAAGCAGACAAATGAGCTCTATTGTCACTCACGTGATAATCTTCGTTGGATGCCATGAGTCAGAAGAATGAGATCCTGATACGAGTTTTCTTGGCTACACTTTCTGATTTTTGTAAAAAATCTCTCTTTCTGGAGCTTCCAGTAGTGCAAAGAGAAACGTTTGAAGTCGCCTCATAGAATTTTTTTGACTATTGTCGCTCAAACATTCATTCTAGCAGGTTTTACACGTCACTCCGCATAGGGTGAGTAATCTCTGCCTTATAAAAGAAACGCACACTTCAACAGGCATTTGTGCAACGATGGTCTTGACGGTAATTTAGCCAAACCTTATTTTCGCGTTACGAACTAACTGTTAAGCTAATTGTTACAAAACTTCCCTAATTATTTTCTAATCTAACAAGCATGGCTTGTACGCCTAATTCAGGGACTAATGAGAATATTTCAGTCTCAAATGTTTTCTAACATTTTAGTGACGCAAGTGCTTATGGCTCATGAATTTTTCCGCTGCTTTGATATACCTTGTCATTCTAAAAAACCAAACTGCTCATGGTATTGACTCAATAATATTTCTGCGTAATGACTTAATGATCAGAGAACGTACAAAAGACTCAACGATGTTTTTGCTTTGAATTTGTCAGTCATTTTTCGTTATTAAATCAAGCAAGGTCCACTTGCCTCATCGCTCAGCACCCTCTACAATGCTGTCCACATATTAGGTCGTGTAATAAGTTCTGTCTCTGTTTTTTTAAAATTTTTTCTTGACAACATTGATTATATTTAAGATAAAGCGTATATGCATATAAAAGCTCTAAGTCTGCTCTGCAGGCTCCTATGCATTACCCAGCATAGCAGGAAAGTGAAAAAGATTTTTATCATTGAAACAAAAAATCCAAAAAGCCGAAAAATCAATTTTCGACATCTTTTTTCCTCCAAATTTTTCTCAATTTTTATTGGTAAAACTCATTAAACAAGCTTGACAACAACCAATACAATCTACTAGACTTTTACATTATTCTATCACTGTTTGCGCATGTTCCCTTCCTTCCATCGGCTATTTAATGACATTTTTTTAAAAGTCGGCAAGGCAAGACTTTGTCACGGCGATGTTCGCCGTCTCGCGTACTCAAGCTGTGTGGCTCCCAAAATTCGAATTTTGAGTATTTAACCTATGAAATCGATAAGAAGCCACAAACCATCCCTTCTGTCATTTCTGAATGATTCGCCTACCGTCTTCCCTCAGGATGCCTTCAGATGATGCCCAATACCAACGTTGAAAAGGCATTAAGAAAAAGACTTTACTAAAGTCTACAGAAATGATTTTTGAGAGGTTTCAGCAATCCTGAAGTGCAATAGAAGCTAGAGCATTCTTTGCTTACGTGTAGCAAATTCTTCGAGCTTATTCGTAGGCATTCTGACTAATTAGGAAGGGACGTAACGTAGTTTTCGAAAATGGACTTTTTCCCCGTTTGATTTTCCAAATTTTACGCTGTAAAACTTTTTCAGGTATCTGATATAGAAATACGAAATGAAAGTTTTGGTAGAGAAGGCTTAGAGCTTTCAAATGCATATAAACAATTTATGAAACCTCGCGCAAAATATAGAGAAAATCAAGAGAAAAAAGGGGACAGAACTTATTACACAACCTAATACAACTACGTTATATGCATATTTCAGCATACAAACGTTACACAGTGCTGGCTAAAACTATAAGTCCACCCTGACAACTGCCGTAGCTTTGATCATTCAGAGAAAAAAATCAAAAAATTTCGAAAAAGCATAAGTCCACCCTAAGGTTTCTGTGCACTAATGTAATTCTCGGCTTCCAAAGTCCTTTATGCATATACATACTCAAAAGTCAAAACGGTCGCTTTAGTCCAGATGTGTCATACCTTTGTAAGAAACGCTTATCTGCTTTTTTTTCGCTCAAAAATACTTTCATGCGTATTTTGTTCCCGAGTATGTGTTTTTATGGGCGATATTTCAGTTTCCTGATTGGTTTGGAAGCGATAGGGTTCCATCTATATTATAGATGCTTAGCGATGACAACTATAAAAAATTTGAGTTTTCATATTTAGAGCGCACCCGACATAAACCTAACAGCCAGCCTGCGCTAAAATTTATGCTCTCAAACTCTTTCTGCAATGTTCTCATGAGCGTGATGTAGATTATTAACCTTGTTTGTATGTAAAAGAGTCCGGACGCAGTGGTTGCAGATTTCGGCAGGTCCTAGCATGCAGGCTAATTGAGGAATTCATCCTGCAAAAACTGATTTGCAAAAAGCCTTGAACTAAATTTTGGTTCTGACCGTAATATGTGAGTCACAAGGCATCGCAGGGTTTTCCACTATCTAGCAGTTAAATAGTGGCAAAAAATCAGGAAAGGTACCACTTGGTAGGTATTTATTTTGGGATTGCCTAAATATTATCAACGAACCGAGAGGATTTATGCTTTGAAAACGAAGCAAAATGTGACCTGGCGAACAATCGCAAGTATAGTGTACAAATTTCTTTTTATGTAAATAATGCTTTACATTATTTTGAGCCTACAAAAATAACATAAACCAATTTTTAAGGCAAAAAATTATAGCGCAGGCTTGCTCTTAGGTCTATGTCGGGTGCGCTTTAAATATGAAAACTCAAATTTTTTCTCTAGTTCTCACTTCGCTAAGCATCTATAAAATAGATGGAGCCCTATCGCTTCCAAACCAATCAGGAAACTGAAATATCGCCCATAAAAACACATACTCGGGAACAAAATACGCATGAAAGTATTTTTGAGCGAAAAAAAGCAGATAAGCGTTTCTTACAAAGGTATGACACATCTGGACTAAAGCGATCGTTTTGACTTTTGAGTATGTATATGCATAAAAGACTTTGGAAGCCGAGAATTACATTAGTGCACAGAAACCTTAGGGTGGACTTATGCTTTTTCGAAATTTTTGATTTTTTCCCTGAGTAATCAAACAAAAACGGGATCCGTTCTAGTTACTGATGGTAGCCTGTTGAACACACAACCGTACCAAATTTCAGATCAATTCGTCGGGAAGCAGATGAGCTACGGCAGTTGTCAGGGTGGACTTATAGTTTTAGCCAGCACTGTATTAGAATTCGGTGCGAAAATGGAATTTTCTTTGGAACGCCATAACGCCATTTTTTTATATATTAGGTTGTCCCGAAAGTTTTGTCGGTTTTTTCAAACCACTATAAAACCACGAACACTAAACACCCGAATGAATTTCAACATGCATTCGATGCAGCTTTTGCTTCTCTTTCTTATGGATACATTCGCGAGCCACAATCTTGTATGTTTTTTTCGATATTTGTTGAAATTTTCCATCCGCCAATCTTATCTGGTCAAAGATTGGCTAATTTTCAGAAATTTCATACTAAAGTTTCCAAAATGTTTGAGTATGATTTTGATGAAACAATTCTCGGAATACAAGACTCCATTTTTAGATTCTCCTAAACTGCTGTTTATACCTTGAAAAAAATTATTTCTTAAGAGGTCTCGATTTTTTGGCAAAGTCATAGAACACGTAACTGCGGCAAATACACGTAAATTTTCAAAGTTTTTGCGAATTGAGAGGTGATTCTTATCAAAGATGATTTATGCAACATGACCAAGTTTGATTTGCCTTCAAAGCAGCTTTTTGAAATTTTTGGTACTTTTGCGTGGTAAATGTAAGCAAAAAGTTGCGGTTTTTATTGAAGAATTAATTATAACGGACTTGGTAAACGTGGCTCATGTAATCTAAAATAAACACAATGTAGCCGAAGGTTTGCTCAACATAACAGTTACCAGCGCTCTTTGAAAACATTAGTATAAAATATTTTACAATTCAGGAAAGATTTGGAAGTGTAAATCAGCTCATCTGGATGCGAAGCGCACATAATATAAAACATCAGATGAGTGACAACAACCGCAGGATATTTGGTTCATTTTGCACTGAACTGATCTAACAAAACAACCAATAAGAATTTAGCAGTACATCAGTGGCGTACCGAGGGGGGAAGCGCCCCCCTCCCGAGAACGGGTCGCGAAATTTTTGAAAGTTACTTACATGAGTTATAAAAATGTGCAAGTGACTTGTTTATTTTTGTAAACAATTAAAATAATTTTTAGAATTTTTTAAAAATTCAAATTAGCCTTATAAAAAATTTTTTTCGGGGGCGGGGCGTTAGCCACGCCCCCTTTTCCAGATTTTAGGGGTTGGGGGCCCGCAAAAATTTTGAAAAGCCCCTTAAAATTTTTTCGGAGTGCGTGGCTAACGCCACGCACCTTCATTTAAAAAAATTTTTGCCGCCCCCCCCCGAGCCGAAATCCTGGGTACGCCACTGCACTACATGTGTAAGTGTGAATATTATTTCGATAAAATTTCGATCTATATTAAATGGTATTTCAAACCCCAATAATATTCACTAGACTCAAAAACCACTCCAACTTTTCTAGTTGCATCCGGTCTATTGCCTCTGATTTCGAACAAAGAGGTAATTTCTAGTATATATAAATACCTTCAGAGATGATGAATTTGCCATTCTTGCTACTCATTGCCATTCTCTCTCTTTCAACTGCTGCCCCTACTTTCAACATAAGTGAAGCAATCATTCTTACGAAAATATATATGGGTAAGCTCCCCTAATTATGTGAGAGCAGTGAAATTTATTTTTAGCTGTACAAGCCGCAAATAGTTTGCTCAAATAGAGGGCAGATTCGGGCGCATAGCGCAAGCGCTTTACAAAGCGGTCCTTTGCAGGGCCCGGCACAGCAGGTGGACTTCGGTTTTGGGGTGAAAAAGCAAAGGGGGATATCGTAGGTCAAGGGGACTTCATTTTGAAAAGCCGAAAAAACTCACGCCGGACCTCGGTCCTCCATCTCTTACGCGAAGGGTACTACGCAATACTTCTGATCTGTTTGCTTAAAGCAATCAGAGTGCGGCTTGTACACCTAAAAATAGGGTATGTAATTTGAAGCTTCCTTTTGTAGAGTCGGATGAGTCTCTAAAGGAAATGAGCAAGGAAGAAAGAGCTTTCGTTAAAGTAGCGTGGTTTTTAGCAGGTAAGCTCCTTTGTCATAGCATATGTAAGTCATTGTTATCTTTCAGAACTTTTGGGCGAAGGATTTGACCATGATTTCAACAAGAATGACGCAGCTGTTGTAGGGGAAGTTTTCTTGACTACCAGACCTAGGAGTGATGAAGCGGTAACTTTCTACACTTTCCTTACATAAATTTATATCAAAAGAGTGAGAACGATCTTTTATGTTTTGATTGCCCAGAACTTATCATGCTATCGAGACATCCGGAACGCTCGTAGGCTCGACAAGTGCTCCATGTCACGAATATGTCATAGGGCTGATAGCGGTTGCTGTATAAGACACAGAAAACGTTGCACAGAAAACGTTTGTATAAATTTCGTCAATCATGCACCAATGCTCTCTAAAAGATCTGCACCTCTACGAAGCTGATATGAAAAGACGCGACTGAATAGTTCTTTAGATTAAGCAAAACCGATACAAAAATTTCTTGCCTGGAAAACCGGCCACGGAAACTAAGGTTTGTATGTAGGCCGTAGTAAACCTCTGTTCAGCGCAACTCTCCTGAGGGCGGACCTACTTTAAACGTAGAGCGCCTCAGTCCGGCACTCAGTGCGCTATCGACCTGGATGCGGATCACTTTTTAGAACTATTGGGTTGGCTAAAAAGTAACTTCGTTTTGGCATATAAATTGTCATAAAAAATTTTATTGTTGTTTTCAATCTATGATTCTTTGTGGGAAAGTAGTTTGAAGCTTCCTCTATCACAAATAATCAGGATTTTCTATCGTCAGTAAAGACAGTTATGCCTCAACATGGCGAAATGTCCAAAAGCTCAATTCTTTGAATTCTTGAGCTTTGTTTTCATGCTGTAATGGATGTAAAGAACAGCAGTTTGGTGTTTGGATACAGAGGAGTTATCCCTATTTAGTGAACACCAAACAGAACTATGATCTGTCATTTTGAAAATGTTTCACTGAGAAAACCAAATTTTCTCATATTTGCGCATTATGGGAAAATTGCGATTTTTCACTTCTTTGCGGATTTTTTCCTGGGAAGATAAGTTTTACTCAAATAGAGTATATGCTCCAATACCCAGTGAAGTGCTCTTTTCAGAGATAACAAACGCTGGGCAAAAATTTGTCTACAGCATTTGTAAGAGCTGAAAAAGCGACCGAACTTATTTATTAGCCAACCTGATAATAATCGTGTGTGACGAAGAATAAGCCCACCTGATATAATTGGTTTTCAAAGTGCACGGCCGGTGGTCCGAAACCGACTAATGGTGTGGCGACTCGGTGGGCTCATGCACCTAGATATAACCCGAGGCCTGATGCTCGCCCGATACTAAGCGACGTACCTATCCTACTGAGCGCTTAACGCGCGACCGAAAGATACATAAGTTAGATTAAGTGATTTATCCTTATGATACCAAACTACAGTTAAAATAGACATAAGGAACACTAAACTAAAAACAAACTACTACTACAAAAGAAACAGGGGACGAGGGCCCGTCACATGCTACCGATGCGCGTCTACATGTTATCTCAAAAAAACATGTGGCTCCCGAGGTTTCCCGCAACAAATCCACCGCGCAACGCCAAGGTTATAAACGACGGCACGTCTCCACCAGCTCCTGTAGATGTTAGAGTTCCAACTTAACATGCAATTCTGGTAGATACTACGGCGCGTTGAAATGCGCTGACAAAGAGAATCCATTTTCCAATCGAAAGAACTTCCGACTCAACTACTCTTACAAAAAAGGACAGGAGCAAGGTGGTGAAATGATATTCGAACAATAAATCAAAATCAATAAATAAAAACGAAGACGGACAAGGCACCCAAGTGAGGCGCCGCCGCTTTATATAGCCGCCTGGCTGGCAACGAGCCAATTAAGGAGAGGTCCGGAGACGATCGCGGCAACACGCGTCTCGGCTACCGAATCGTCGCCGAGCGCGGTAACCGATGCCCCCGGCCTCCGTACTTCGAGGAGTGTCTTGCATCGCGAGACGCGACAAGTGGCACACTTTTGCTGCATCGTCAAGCAAACTTTGATATTGGCAACTATCAAGAAATTGATGATGACCGCTATCAGAGATTTCACTCAGGGTCAAGCAAGATGTGGCACATGATCGCTGGTTACGACCTCCTCCCCTCTTATTGCTATCTAAATAAGCCCCCTGGATTAATACCCAAGATAGCAATAATTGAAGGCCCTGTCAAAGATAACGGCAACAAGTCCATAATTAACATGTCAATTACCCCCTGTAGACAAAGTTTAAGCGAATTCCGAAGTTTCAAGATACTGGGCCACCTAAGTGAAATCGCCATTTTCCAGCATAATAAACTTTATTTCAAACGTAAGTAGCTAGCTGTTTTTGCACTCAAGACAAAGCACTACTCCTTCTTTGGCCACTATAGGAATCTCGCTCTAAAAGACCTCTTAATCTTAACTTCGGAATTAGAAGCCAACCAAAATTTTGTTTTTCCTATTTTTCGCTATTAATGGCTATGCTTTCACCAAATATTACTCAGAGCTAAGAAGATGAATCAGGCTCAAATCACTTTTACGAAATCTACGACGTCTAGGCTATCCATTCACATAAATAACGTTCGCTGAAAAATGTTTTCTTTGATATAGTTAATGGAGTGTGGCAACATCCCTAAAACGTTGTGGCTGCCACAGTATTTTAAGAGTGGTCCAACACTCCATTAACTTACCTTCAAACAGATCAAAAAACCGTAGCTAATAGCTTTTCATATCGTTGTTACTGCTTAACCTTCTTTTTTACATGGCAGAAATTTCATATGAAAACGTTTCTTCAAGAGCAAGATATAATCGTTTTCCTTACCTAGGCAAATGTAAAATACTGGTAAAATACTGCAAAAATATTGGGATACGGTAATATGCTAAGTTTGCACTACTACGTGAATCGCAAGGGAAGGCGACAAGAATGTATATATTCGATAGCCTAAGCCTCTAATCTACGTCAAAGTAATTTGAGTCTGATTGACTTCTCTAGCCTGAGATATTGAAAACGAAAAATGTAACAAGCGAAATTTTGGCTTGCTCTTAATTCTTCATTTGAAGTAGGATTCCTAATGTGAGAAAAAACGGTAGTACTCTGTATTAAGCGCAAAATGAAGTAGTTAACTTACCTTTGAAACAAAATAACATGTTTGAAAACGACCCTCTAATCTAGGTGGTCCTGTACTTTGAAACCTCAGAATTCCTGAACCTTGGACCACAGGGTATATTTTACTTGCTAACTACAAAACGATGCTTCTATGCTTTATAGATCTTTGATTATGTTTACTTCCTATGCGATAATGGGTCAAACATCAATGTGCTAGTGTTTTGCATGATGGGCCTATTTGACATTGTTAACGAATATCATGTTATGCGAACAACGGACGTCTTGATAACGACCCCCCCTCCCTGATTCCTAAATACTACCCTCCAGGTGTGGCATGCCACACCCCACGCTTGACCTTGATCTCACTTATGGTAATTTTCAACTCAGTTTAGGCGGAAATTACACTGGCGGGAGTCCGCTTCGCAACATTCGCGCAGCTTTGCAATCTGCCTCTCTTCATTCCAACCTATCTCGTAAGACTGTGGCGGTGCGGACGCGCTGCTCCACTTGAAATGTTTCGCCTACTCTAGGAAGGTCACGCCCCCTTACGCATTGGAATCACCTGCACAAAAAGCTTTCTCTTCCTAATTAATCGCAGAAATCAGCTGTTCATTGACCCACTCCCATTTAGGCTCTCGAAATTGTGCAATTCTGAGAATTTTGCGCCGCAACAGTACGTCAATTGAATTGTCCCGTAAGTTACTCAAGAGCAACTTACGAGAAATTTGTCTGATACTCCTTTTTTACACACTATTTCTCTCGGTTTACCTTAGGGTCTACTCTCCGCATCCTGTTAAACTGACCTTGACACTTGACTGGACGGTCTTCTGGCTGTTCAGCTGACTATCTCAAAGCATGGGAAGGTGGGCAGCATTAATTCTACCTAAGAATTTTCTAAGTGGGTCATCTCAGGTCAGCCGAGATGAGGGTTTAGGTTTATTACCGGCCAATTTCACGGAAGATGTCTGGGATATGCACTTGAGAGGGCCTTCGAAGCAGATCCTCTAAGCTGTGTGTCACAAAATTACCAGCAAGCAACTCTTGCATTCACTAATCTTTGAAGGTCACATTTGCCAAATGTGCAACGCTTGTATGGAGCTCAAATTCTCCACAGCTCATCATTTTTCTTTAGTTTCCCAGATTTTCCACACCTCTTCATTTTTTCTTAGTTCCTCAAAAGATTCTCAATAATAATAATAATTAATAAGTGATGGTCAGTGATAGCACGACCTAAATCCCACTCTGTAGAGAAATGAAGCGATGTTTGCCTAGATCGGCGTTGCTCGGCATATCTCGGTTTAGAGTGGGCGACTTCTGAACAAGCAAACATTTCAACTTATTTGGCTGACGTTTCGCAAAAAAACAGCCGAGAAAAGTTGATTTCAATGGTCTGGCTGAAGATACAAAAGTCATTTTGAAAATGCCAAGATTTGTGGAGAGTCGATTATGGAATATCGCCACCTCAGCTTGGCGAGATCTTCTGGTATATAAAAGTGCCAACGTTTGTCATGGTACGATAGGCATGAAGAAGTTTTCAGAAATTCCTCCAGAATTTTCGCCTATTATCACGCAATGTGCTAATGATAACATGCACATCGATTTTCTGCTGGCACATCCAGAAATACGATAAGTGCCAAACGTAAGTTTTGGATTAACCAACTGCTGTTGCAAGAATAGCAGACAATCTATGATGATGTTATGCTGTATATAGTAGACGTCAAGCGTTTGATCACATCACTATAGTTTGTGCAAATGCAGCGCAATCTGGAAACTTGGATGAGGTATGGCGAGTTCGGCTTTTCCGTGCTTGCACATATGGCGCAGAACGGCTTTTCCAAGACTCCACATTGGCTTTTTTGCATTTTTTTGATTTTTTGTCGTCCGTAGACCTCTCCACAACATCAACACCTTATAATAACGGGCTAAGGGTTGTTTACGGGTTTTAATGTGTGTGTGTATTTATATATATATGTGTGTGTTTGTGTGTGTGTTTGTGTGTGTTTGTGTGTGTTTGTGTGTGTGTTTGTGTGTG